TTGGCTACTTTTGGGTAATTCGTTGGACCGCTAGGGAGGGATACCGTCTCCACCCTAGGATAAAATTTGAACGATTGTATTTAGATGTGATTAGAATATAGTGCGAGTTGCAAACTTTACTCACTCGTTTGGACATTTGTGTGAGGATACGAGTATGCCCTGACCTAAAGGTGCGGCCAGGGTAATAATAATAATAATCAAGAATACTGTACTGTACTGCACATAACAGGACATGGTATAGTAAACATGGTATAGAAAACAACACAGCAGTAGAGGCCAGATGGTGAAACCCCTCCACCATCCTGTATGACCCCCGCATCCGTCTAGTGAGGTCCTGGGAAATGATATATAAATAATATAAACATAACGTAACAGTAAGCTAGTGTAACAGGATATGTCAGGAGCTGCCTTACTGTACTGCGTCTGGTGTGGGAAAACTTGGTGCTACAGTTGTTGGTACTGAGTAGTAGTCATGATGATAGTAATATTATTATTATTATTATTATTATTGTTATTATTATTATTATTATTATTATTATTATTATTGTTATTATATACGTTCATATATTTTTTATGCGGTGTGTGTGTGTGTGTGTGTGTGTGTGTGTGTGTGTGTGTGTGTGTGTTACGAGGAAATACCTGGTGAGGTGTGTCCAGTGAATAATGGCTTGATGACGTAACCTGCCTTTCTGACCATGTGTGTAGGTGACTCACTTTTGGACACCTCCCTCCCTCCCTCCTTCACCCCATTCTTGTTTCTGCTCGTTCCCCCCTTCGCCTCTCTCCCTCCTTCCTTTCCCTCACTTCTCACCTCATTATATCTTTAATAGTATAATGTATCAGACACGGGTCGAGTCATTGTAGTTATGATGATAATGTGGTCAATGATGCACGGGCTGACACACACGACGTGGCAGAGTAAATATTGAAGTTGTGACTCACATGCCAATGGGTGTTGGCGAGTCTACCTCACATGGGACAGTGATAGGCTCACATGGGACAGTAATAGGCTCACATGGGACAGTGATAGGCTCACATGGGACAGTGATAGGCTCACATGGGACGGTAATAGGCTCACATGGGACGGTAATAGGCTCACATGGGACAGTAATAGACTCACATGGGACATTAATAGGCTCACATGGGACGGTAATAGGCTCACATGGGACGGTAATAGGCCTACTGTTTAATTCTAATCTTGCCATCGCTGGAAACTGTCTTAAATAATCTTTTTCTTTAACACCTACAAAATATAACCTAATGTCTCTTATCATTGGGCGCGGACAGTTACCAAGGCAATAGGCAGGAGATTTTCACCCAAATATTTTAATCGTGGATCTTGGGGGAAAATACCTGATCAGCCGTACCAAGTTTAACAGTGAGCCAAATATTACCTTTGTGGTGCAGGTGTGGCCGGGGGGGTGTGGTAGAAGGTGTGTCCCCATAGTGTGGCTTTATCTACAGCTGTTTGCCGTAGTGTTACTCTGTGTGTATGTAACGTAACCCGCTGTGTAAGTCTTCAGAGATAACAGGGTGGAAGGAAATACTCGAGTGTGTGTGTTTGTGTATGTTTGTTTACTCAGTGTATAAATGGTTAAAAAACTTACCTACAGTGAGTGTGTGTATGTATGTATGTATGTATGTATGTATGTATGTATGTATGTATGCGAGTTACGTACAACTTCCCGCTGGGTGACACACGTTCACAAGGTAAGTGTGAAGTCGTCAGTGTATCAGCCGCTACACCCCAAGGCTCCTGCTGCTGTGTCTAGCTTTAGGAACCTTAACTTACTTGTTATTGCTTCTTTAACTGTACCTTACTGTACCATGTTTACTGTACCTCTAGTCCTGTTAGAGTACTGTACTTTACTCTACCATGTTTACTGTACCTCTAGTCCTGTTAGAGTACTGTACCATGTTTACTGTACCTTTAGTCCTGTTAGAGTACTGTACCTTACTGTACCATGTTTACCGTACCTCTAGTCCTGTTAGAGTACTGTACTTTACTCTACCATGTTTACTGTACCTCTAGTCCTGTTAGAGTACTGTACCATGTTTACTGTACCTTTAGTCCTGTTAGAGTACTGTACCTTACTGTACCATGTTTACCGTACCTCTAGTCCTGTTAGAGTACTGTACCTGCAATCGTGTACCCTTATAAATAAATTACTATACCTGTACCCCTGTTTGACGATTGCTGTACCTGCACCCTTATAAGACAATCACTGTACCTGTAGTGTCCCCTCATAAGACAATCACTGTACCTGTAGTGTACCCTCATCAGTGTATTGCTGTACCTGTAGTCATGTACCCTCATAAGTGTATTGCTGTACCTTTAGTGTACCCCCATAAGTGTAATCCGGAGCATTATAACAACCTTTCACAACTAACTGCTTACCAACATTGTGGCATTTAAAATGACAGTAGTCTAATTAGGAAAGAAAAAGTACTGCACAATATGCAGATGAGCATGAAACATAGTTTTTACACAAACTGGCCTATATCTACATTGTGTGAGCGCTGTGCATACATTAGTTTGTATGACTGCTAATTCACATATCCCTTCTGCAGCAGGAATAATGCGAAGACATAGGCTGGACATACGTGTAATTGTAAATATGACGACTTACACCGCGATAATACCCTAGGATTATCTAATGCTAACAAGGAATATTCTTCATCTACAAGCAAAAGTTCTTTTGGCCTATCAAGAGTATACAGTGTGTTATTTACATACCAAGGGAAGGATTAAAAGCCATGCATTAAATTTATGCTGCTTTAGCACAGGTATGTGGATAAGGATAGCATTGTGCGCGAGAGTTGACTCCAACAGAGGATAATAGTATTCCATCTCATGATCCTTGAAAGTTGGAGTTAAATGATACTTCAACTTGGCAATCTGCAATGCTTCAAGAAGAGTCTTCACAGGCACAAGCTTTGCATTCACCCGCCCTAATCCTGCATCCACGATGCTGTCGATTAGTTCAATGTTCATGCGGTCCCCTAACTTAGCTACATCATCGGCAGTTGCTGTGCCAAACAGAGTGCTATTGATAAGACCCACCAAATTAAACAATCCTTATATACTATATGTTCACCACGTCCTCTACACTGAAAACGCGTCCAAGGGGAGCAACAAGCGCACCTGGCTTGAGGACTTCTGTGGACATATCTGTCAACACAACGGTGCCACAGAGCAGTAGGAGCAGCACCCTCATGATCCTAGCCATTCCATACACAATTTTTATTCGTTTATTGTTTGCTTGCAGAACTAAGTTTCATACAATATTCATTAAGCACTCTGCTTCTGTACTGTCTATAACATTATTACCATCTGTGGGTAATAAATGTTCATGGGTCTTCTTAAGCCGATCCTCATGCACGACATCTGCGATCTGTGCATTAGGCTTCCAAATTTTTAATTTGTTGCCCGCTTCTTTGGCGATAATGCGGAATGGACCCGAAAATTTAGCCGAAAGCTTGGAGTTCCATTCAGTTTCTCTTACCATAACAGCATCGCCTATCTGTAACACGACAGGTTTAGCTTGTTTATGTTGCTTCACAATCATTTCAGCACGTGACGCTGCTAAATGTGTTCTTACTTGGCCATGAATATCCGCAAATACATGGATTTGTTTTGCCGCGAAATCATCCATATTATAAACAGGGCTTGGCTTGTCTGTGAGTACATCATAAGGCAGACGTTTGTCTGTGCCATAGACAATGTAGTAGGGTGATTTGCCCGTAGAGCTATTAATCGACCCATTAATAGACGCTGCGTGACTCGGTGAATGAACAGAATGACGGCCCGAATGAGAGAGGCTAGACCGCTAGACTCGGTGAATGAACAGAATGACGGCCCGAATGAGAGAGGCTAGACCGCTAGAATCTCAATGAGGCGAATGAGAATAATCAGGGCCCGTGGACGGGACTGCAGGCGATTGACCCCTGCCAATTAACACTAAACTGGTTAGATCTGGACAGCTGTGTTTGCCCAGGTGCGTGGTCATGCCCGGGTGTGTCTTGGCCAGGTGTGGTTTGGTCAAGTCACCCGCTAACTCAAGTAATTAGTGGCCGGGGTCAGGTCCCTTAGGTCCTGACCCAGGGTGTGTGTACCACGAGGCATGAACAGTACTCCCTGCTATATGTGTCGTAATTCTCTGGGCTGTAAGCTGTGGTCTGATAAACAATCATGACAGTATGGCCGTCGGCAGCTGATAGTGACCTCACTTCTGAGCGGATGCCGCCTCCACCCTTATTATACCTCCATGGTCTCCACACAGTATGCAAACAGACCGGATAGTTTCACTTCACAACGCTGTATATGATGACAGATGATCAAACATGGAAGAATCTACAAAAAATGCACGTTTAATTGTGGCATGGCAGATTATGATCCACGATTTGCAGTGGCAGAAATTCTGAAGAAAGAACGCAGATATAGGGAGCCAACAGAAGCCTATCAAACAAGAAAATTGGCTGTCAAATTCTTCACTGGTGGTTCATTTTAAGATAGTTATTATCTAGTATGAAATATTACATAACTACCACATGCTTCCATCTACATTCCACAAAAATGTTTTGTACCTACAGTATTAGCCCTTATATTTTCACAATTTTTGTCAATGCTGAGTTACAGTATAGCAGTATGTATGAAATGTTTGTCTTTTTCAATAAATATTACCTGGTATATGGTACTACGCAGTTTTATTTAATAGAAATTACCATTTTTGCATCTACTGTACTGTGTTTCCTTAAATTCCTTTGATTTTTCTATAATTATCGGCTACTCTAACTACTATCTTTTAATATAAATGCCAGGTACAGTACTTGGAGTCTGCCCCTTTTAGATATATGTGCCCCTTTTTTTAAAGTGGCCCACTAATAAAAATTCCTTAAAGTCCCTGGACAGTTATTATAGTGAATGTGTGACGAACTAAATAATACATGTAAAAAAAGAGTACACGACGCGCTTAACTAACTCACTATTATGTCCTCAGAACAAGCTGGTGAAGGAGTTAGTGAAGGAGAGGAGGCCGAGGGAGGTGGACGGCTACGTTGGCTTCGCTAATCTGCCCAACCAAGTGTATCGGAAGGCTGTTAAACGAGGCTTCGAATTCTCACTCATGGTAGTTGGTGAGTATTGTTTGTGTTAGTATTAGTGTTTGTTAGTATTAGTGTTTGTTTGTGTTAGTATTTGTGTGTCACGTTGGTCAGGGTATCTCCTGCGTCTGCTGGCCCTATGAATGCTTTATCTGTGGCGTTGTTTTTCTTACCTCTAGATTTCCATTGGACAACACAGGGTGAGAGGGAATTTTGTGTCTTCCATGTGTAAACAGTCCTCCTGCCGATGGTGTGTCACTCACCCTCACTACAGCACCATCACCATCAAACACTGCACCACCATCATCACCACCAAACACTACACCACCATCACCACCACCAAACACTACACCACCATCATCACCACCAAACACTACACCATCACCACCAAACACTACACCACTATCATCACCATCAAACACTACATGGTGGTAGGTGTGGTAACAGTAAGCAGTGGCACGTGTGTGGTGGTTGTGGTAGGTGTGTGGTGGTGGTGGTAGGTGTGGTGGTAGCTGTGCTGGTGGTAGCTGTGGTGCTGGTGGTAGCTGTGGTGGTGGTGGTGGTAGCTGTGGTGCTGGTAGCTGTGGTGGTGGTGGTAGCTGTGGTGGTGGTAGGTGTGGTGGTGGTGGTAGCTGTGGTGCTGGTAAGTGTGGTGGCGTCATGAACATAAGCTGTGGTGTGGTAAGTAAGCCGTGAACATGATCTACATTCTGTGTGTGTGTGTGTGTGTGTGTGTGTGTGTGTGACCGTCCACCTGGGATAAGTCTTCCTCCTCCTCCCTCTCCTCCTCCCCCCTCCTCCTTCCCTCCTTGGTGACGCCGTAGTTCAGACGTGACAGTGCAGGTCACGTCTTCAGGCTCTGTCACCAAGACGAGTGTCAATATGGAGGCCCTCACTATTTTTTCCTTCGTCCTACATTCCCTCCTCGCCTCTCCTCTCCACACTCCTTATTTTCTTTATTTTTCCTCCTTCGGGTCGATTGGCTCCTGTCTTAACAGTCCCCAACCCAACCCATTTAGATTGAGCCCGGTGCTAATGGTATAGGTTAGGTTAGGGCCTATTAGGACTGGGGCCCATTGGACCTTTAACTCATTGACGTAACCTGGTGTTGACCTTCCCCGTGTGGACCTGACCTGCCTCTCAGGGCGCCGTGCCGCTCTCCACACCTGGGAGGCGGGGTAAGGGGGAGGATGACTGTATGATGTTAATGTAAATCTTGGTAGTTCTGTGTGTGTGTGTGTGTGTGTGTGTGTGTGTGTGTGTTGAGGGTCAGGTTAAAGCTGTCAGCCACGCGCCACCCGCCACACTCACCATCGTCATCAAATTCCTTGTTCAGCAACGATATTATTCAAAGTTCCTTAATTGGTCTCTTTAGGGCTATAACGGTAGCAGTAATGATGATAATAATAATAATAATAATAATAATAATAATAATAAAAATAATCGGTTGCCTGTTACAATACTAATAACTACTATCAAAGCTTTGTTTAATACAGACTACTGTACTGTGGAGCCGTGTCTATACTGAACATGAAGTGAAGAATACTGTATCATAGTTGGAAATATATCCTAAAGTGATTAGTTTATGTGATGGATAGTTTTGAGTGTGTGTGTGATAATAAACGGTTTATTAATAGAGTTGCAGCCGGTGGCTGGAAATATACAAACTTACATGTGATTTAGACGTAATGGTATGCGTTCAATACATTTACAGGGCTGTACAGTACATAAATCAGGAGTTGTTTATTATTTTAACAATAGATGGGATGGTGCTATTCTTATATCTATCAGTGCGGGCTCTTATGGGCTGAATTTTGTTGTAGTGGCGGACTGCTCGAGGTGGGCGGGGGACTGCCGGTGGCAGGAGGTGGCGATGACAAGGTTGGTGCAGTAGTCCACTGCCAAACCTTGCTAGTGCTTGGTGGTGGAGGTCCCTGGGGTTGGCATTTCCAGGTGAAGAGAGCGTTGTTGTAGCCGGAATAGTCTGCGCCGAGCATGATTCTGCAGGCTCGTTTCTGTACCTTCTCTTGCTGATGTTGTTGGGTAGAGTTGAGAGAAGACGCATACGTTAGTTGGGGAGAATAAAGGCGTTGTAGATAGCCCTCAGCTCAGGCGTGGGTGTCCCAAGTGACTTGAGTCGTCGTAGCATGTAGAGGCGGTACGAGGCTGCCTTGATTGTGTTGTTTACATGGGCCTTCCAGTCCAGTTTGTGGTCTATGGTAACACCCAGGAGTTTGGCAGACTGCACCAACTGGAGAGGATGGGCACCCACTGTGACTGCCGGAGTGGTGGCGGTATTGATGTGCATGACTACGGTTTTGGTGTGGTTGATGGTGACCTTGTTCTCCGTAGTCCATGCCTGTAGCCTGTCCAGGGTGCCTTGTAGCGCTGAGTAGTCGTGTGTGTGTGTGTGTGTGTGTGTGTAAAATTGATTGATTGATTGATTGATTGATTTGGTCTGTCCGGAGATTGGAGGAGAGAGGGAATGAATGGGATGCGGTGCACTGCTGGTTCTGGCTACCGGGTGTGATTCTGGTGTTATTGTTGGCGGTGGTGGTGTTATTATTGGTGGCGATGGTGTTATTGTTGGTGGTGATGGTGTTATTGATGGTGGTGATGGTGTTATTGTTGGTGGTGATGGTGTTATTGTTGGTGGTGATGGTGTTATTGTTGGTGGTGATGGTGTTATTGTTGGTGGTGATGGTGTTATTGTTGGTGGTGATGGTGTTATTGTTGGTGGTGATGGTGTTATTGTTGGTGGTGATGGTGTTATTGTTGGTGGTGATGGTGTTATTGTTGGTGGTGATGCGTGTGATGGTGTTATTGGGCGGTGATGGTGTTATTGTTGGTGGTGATGGTGTTATTGTTGGTGGTGATGGTGTTATTGTTGGTGGTGATGGTGTTATTGTTGGTGGTGATGGTGTTATTGTTGGCGGTGATGGTGTTATTGCTGGTGGTGTGATGGTGTTATTGTTGCGGTGATGGTGTTATTGTGGTGTTATTGTTGGTGGTGATGGTGTTATTGATGGTGGTGATGGTGTTATTGTTGGTGGTGATGGTGTTATTGTTGGTGGTGATGGTGTTATTGTTGGTGGTGATGGTGTTATTGTTGGTGGTGATTGTGTTATTGTTGGTGGTGATGGTGTTATTGTTGGTGGTGATTGTGTTATTGTTGGTGGTGATGGTGTTATTGTTGGTGGTGATGGTGTTATTGTTGGTGGTGATGGTGTTATTGTTGGTGTTGGTGGTGATGTTTTTGCTAGTTTCTTACTGCCACAAACTATCTATGCTACACTTCCTGTTGTTGTCGTCTCACCTCACCTGTTATTGTATATGTGATATAATTGTCTCCCTGTGTGTGTGTGTAATAATAATAATAATAATAATAATAATAATAATAATAATAATAATAATTAACGGTTTATTGAAAGAGCATGACAGTCGGAAGGCTGAAAATATACAGTTACATAATTGGGGAATGGGTCTCTTGATTGACAAATAATATACAAGTAACATATGTGATACAAATATGATATATAATAACTAGGTGGGGAGAAGCTCAAACTACAGGGCATTTCAACATAGTGACAGTGCAAAAAATAAGATTGACTGGGAGTGAATACACTGGTTGATTACAAGTTACTGATAATTTTTACAATGGTTGGGACTGGGATGTTCTTATAGCGATCAGTTCGTGTTCGTATGGGCTGGATACAGTTGTGGTGTCGAACAGCAATTTTCGGGCGAGGGATCTCAGGTGGTAGTAGGAGCCGGTGTGTGGTGTCAGGAAGGAAGGATGTAGAATGGTGAAGGAGAGTTGGGGAAGATGGAAGGGTTTTTGGTAAGAAGTAAGGAAGGAGGGAGGAAAGAAGGAAGGAAGGAAGGCATGGGAAGGGAAGAGGAGGAGTGTGGGGGAAGGAAGGAAGGAATTGTCAAATAAGAAAGATGGGGAGAGATGATTGAACAGGGGACTAAAAGAGAGAGGGAGAGGAGGGGTGAAGGGGAGACAGTAAGGGATGGAGGAAGGTGAGGGGAAGAGGGTCAGTGAGGGGAAGGGAGAGGGTAGTAGTCTCCCAGGGGATCACCACGAGAGGGGAGTTGAGTAGGGTGAAGGGGTAGGTAGGGTGAAGGGGGAGGAGGCCGACTCTCTGTCTGTCTGTCTGTCGGTCTGTCTGTCTGCCGGTCTGTCTGTCTGTTTGCGTGGGGTACAGTGTGGGTGGTGGAGGGTGTGGGGTACAGTGTGGGTGGTGGTGGGTGTGGGGTATAGTGTGGGTGTACAGTGCGTGGAGTGTGGGGGGTACAGTATGGTGTGGTGGTGGGCGTGGGGTATAGTGTGGACATACAGTGGGTGGAGTGTGGGCTGTATAATATGGGTGGGAGTACAGTTGGTGGTGTTAAGGTTGTAGGTGTGAAGGTGTTGGTTAAGGGTGTAGGTGTTAAAGGTGTAGGCGTGGTGACCTGTGGTGAGCATGCTCGCCTCACAAGCGAGTGGACCCGGGTTCTATCCCCGGGCAGGTTGAAACTATGGGCAAGTTTCTTTACGCCATTTGCCTCTGTCTACCCAGCAGTAATTGGGACCTGGATGTTAATCGATTTGCGTATCTTATTCCGGGGTAATGGTTAGCCAGTGCAGTTGGCGAGTTGTCCGGTCTTCTCGGACTATTCCTTGACACTGGGTCATGCAGCTCCTTAACTCAGGGTGTGGTTGTTGTGGTGGCGACAGCTTCTATACCTTAAACAAATATTACGCCTAGGTGGCCCTTGGGCCGGCCATCCTTGTTACACGAGGGGCAACCATTATTTTATTAAGGGTGTAAGTGTTAAGGGTGTAGCTTTAGGGTGTAGGTTAAAGGTGTAGGTGTTAAGGGTGTAAGTTAAAGGTGTAGGTGTTACGGGTGTAGGTCTGGCCCACCAGTTTATTGAGGTATAATCCAGGTATATTGGTGGTGATGATTCAGGGTTCCTATTACTCTTATCTGTGCTTGTGTTGGGCTTATACCTGTGTGTGTGTGTGTAAACAGTGGTCCTCCCCA